GGCGTCCCAGCAAATGGGGGGGGGGAGCGGTGGCGGGGGGGGGGGAGGGCAGGCTGTAGAGTCGCGCTGTAGGACCCGCTGCTGGCCACTTCCCAGCCTGCAGTGCGGTGTGTGGTGCCAGAACAGGCAGGAAGCCTGTCTTCACAATCCTGGCTAGTCACCTGCTCGCTGGACAGCAAAGCCACCCAGACCCAGCACTGGGTTGTGACCCCTACTTTGAATAGCACAGGCTTAGATTAATGGGGTTGACTAAGCCTAAGAGCTCCTGCATGAGTCCTTGCGCTGGGTATACAGTGATGTCCTGCCACAACAGTACTAGCTGTGTTGGGTGCTATGCAGGGAGCTGGATTAAGAAAGGGGCGTCAGGGACTGTGCAGCCCCGGGCTAAGGTGACTCCCACAAAAAGATCTCCAACTGCCAAAAGTGCTGATCTTATTGCAGGGCTTCCTTAGCCCAGTCTCTGGGCCACCGTCTTTAAAACCCCTGAATTTTGGCCCTTCCTGGCTAAGGGAGAGGAGCCTCAACATGCTGCTGTACCTCCCTACACCTGTGATGGCCTGAAGCTGCAAGCCCTGAAAAGGTTAGGCTATGTCTATACTTGCAAGTTTCGGCGATTAAAGTGCTGTCTACAGGCAGAAGTTGCCAAAACTGGATACTTGCCAACTCATGGCCTCATCTGTAGTTCCCTCCTTGATAGAAAAAGTAAAGCATTGTGGGTATGCATCCCACAGTTCCTTGGGTCACCTTCACTAAGTCCTATAGGAAAGTGCAAAGGAAACACTAGGCATGATAGGAATGTGAAATATGTCCTATCAGCCATCTCTTTTCTTCTCTGGGTTTGTGGTTTACATTCCTGCCAACTTGAGCAACTGTAGACAGAAATCATGGATCCCAGCTTTCTGGCCCTTATTTAGCTTTGGGAGACTCATTGGATATACTCATTGGATATTGATATATTCATTGGATCGTCATTTTTGGGCTAGGGAAACTAGCTCCGAGTGGTGAGATGGCATTGTCATGCAGGTTTGGGATGAAGAGCAGAGACTAAAGAACTTTTGGCTGCGTAAAACAACCTTCCTGGAATTGTATGCTGAGCTGGCTCCTGAACTGAAGTGCAAGGATACCCGAATGAGAGCTGCTCTCTCGGTAGAGAAGCATGTGGCCAATGTTTGTGGAAGCTGGTAATTCCAGGTTGCTACCGTTCAGTTGCGAATCAAGGCAGTATTACTGCAAGTATGCATGACAATAAATCTAATTTTGATTTATCTCCAGGACGGTGACTCTGGGAAATGTGGATGACATAGTGGCTGGCTTTGCTGGGTTAAATGAGGCAGCCAGGCTGGAGGGGCTCCCCTCCCTCCAGCAGACAGGGGTTGCTTCAGCCAGGCTGGAGCTTCCCTGCCCGCAGCAGGGCTGGGCCTGTCGTCAACGGGGCTGTCCTGGCCGGGCTGGAGCACCCCTGCCTGCAGTGGGCCCAGGCTGGGCCTGGTGTGTTCCAGCCCCCAGGAACAGCCCCCAGCAGATAACTAACCAATACGTCTCACCCATTAAGCTTAACCATTCACATTCTTAGAGTTAACTAACGGTACGTCTAGACTACATGCCTCTGTCGCCAGAGGCATGTAGATTAGGCTACCAGACATAGTAAAATGAAGCGGCGATTTAAATAATCGCCGCTTCATTTAAATTTACATGGCTGCCGCGCTGAGCCGACAAACAGCTGATCAGCTATTTGTTGGCTTAGCGTGATAGTCTGGATACGCGGGTGTCGACATCAAAGGTATTTGTCGACCACCCAGGTATGCCTCCTGGAATGAGGTTTACCTGGGTGGTCG